TAATTTCTTAACTAACTTCCCATACTCCTCACATCTAACTCGTTTGGTCTCTGGCTCAAGGATGAAATAATTTTTGATGAAACGAACTTTCAACGCAAACTTTCGACGAAGTAAACGCGACCCGTATGTTGAGTTTGATTGCTTGGCGAACTACTAATAGATAATATGAGAGAGTATATAATTAATTAATCATTAATGATTGACTACTTGCAGCAAAAACTTACTTTAATTTTGGCATCAGAAAAAAGATCCCACGAACGAATATACGCAAACCTTTAATTACATCATGAAATAAATATTCATTAAACATCTTAAATTCTAAATAACCGAATTCTCTTATTTAACCAAAACACCACCTCGCCAGATACTGTTTCATTAGTTTTTGTGGTGATTTCTACCAATCTGATCATGAATAGAATTGACGACATTTTTGATGATGATAAAAAAATTTCAGGTAATAAAATAATAAAATATTACATTTATTGTTGTCATTTGAATCAACAATAAAGTAGATTTACAATATGAGAAATCAAATTAAATGCAGCTACGATCAACCAAATTTGATTAGCTTTTAATTACATAAACACTTTATTCTACCACTTTGGTATTAATTTATTGCGATTTACCAAACTGAGTTAATATTAACCCAATTTATCATACACATACATGAAACACGTGCACAAATGAGCAAAAGAATGAAAATTCGAAAAATATAATATGTTTGGTTTTTTTTGGTTTTTTATCAAAACAAAATTTCAACCAAATTTTTTCAAAAATGTTTTTGCTGCCCAAGACATTCTTTTAGTTAAAAACACCGACCAAGTAAAAAAAATAACTCAAAAAGAATTTTCTTCCTCCCAAACTATTACTTTTAAGGTGCTAGGTCAAAAGAAAACGAGAAAAGAAGAATTTGGTATAGGGTCCTATCATCACGAATTAGAAGTTGAGCCTTTTTCGCTGGGAATTGAGGGATTACCAGAAATTTCACGAATTTCTTTTTGTTTCGGCTACGCCCAGTCCCTCGAAAATTCTCCGAATTCATTAATGAAAACTAAGTTATATAACAGTAAATTATTAGCCGAAAGTGCCGGCAAAACTTTTACCATGAAAGTTAAGGAGTGGAATGTATTTGATAATAACGAATCCCTGCTTTTTAATGAAACAAGCGATTTTGATTTAGACAGTTTTCAAGAAAAATCTACTAATAATCCCGACCAACCAGTAAATAATCCACCTCCTAACCCACCAGAAAATGATAATTCTACTACTCCAAGCGGAAACAAGGGACTAATATTAGGAACAGTAATAATTTTGATTATTTTGGTACTAATTATTGGTTTTTTGTGGAGGAGAAAGAAAAAAATAAAGAATAAAAAATGGAAAAAGAACAATTAAAAGCCTTAATTTTTGACTTACTTTATAACCGCTATTATGGAGTAATTATTTATGTCCGTATTTTTGAAGGGGAATTGGTCAAAGGGCAAAAAATCAAGTTTTGTACTAATCAGCAAAAGGTTTATCAAGTAGACAGAGTGGGAGTAAACATTCCCCACGAGGCTTTAAAAGATAAATTAATTGCCGGAGAAATTGGCTGATTTACGGCTAATATTCGC